ATGACTATTTCAAATTCTATCTATATGTTTTTAATTCCACCTTTTTCATCCAAATCACGTGTGAACGATCCACGTGTCATGGTAGACATGAAGGATTAAAGATTTTGCATTTTTTACAATAGTACCAGTTTTGGGAAATATGGTACCGCATCTTATTCTGCGTGGTACTTGATTTCAATCGAATAATACCTTCTTTTTTGAAGAAAAATTAATTATTTCAATTCTGCTCAACATTTACAAAAAGTGGTACCAGTCATAGTGTAAGTTAGTACCACATTATGGAGAGTTAGTACCAGATATCATGTCCCTAGTACCACTTATAATGAACACATAAGAAGATCGAATTTCAGTCGCAAATGATGTTTATAAGATTCATGATCACTCTGGCATTAGTTTATATAAGATATTAAATGTTTTTGATTGATCTTAATCGCAAATTGGTCATAAACTCGATTCACTAATGAGAAAACACTACTACTAGACTTCATTTCATTGAATGACACACTTCTTCTCATAGAAATCATCATACATGACTATTTCAAATTCTATCTATATGTTTTCAATTCCACATTTTTTTCATCCAAATCACGTGTGAACGATCCACGTGTCATGGTAGACATGAATGATTAAAGAAATCGCGTTTTTTTTATAATGGTACCGGTTTTGGGAAATATGGTACCGCATCTTATTCTGCGTGGTACCTGATTTCAATCGAATAGTACCTACTTTATTGAAGAAATTTTGATTATATCAATTCTGCTCAACATTTACAAAACGTAGTACCAGTCAGAGTTTGAGGCAGTACCACATTATGGAGAGTTAGTACCAGATATCCTGTCCGTAGTACCATTTGTAATGAACACATAAAAAGTCTGAATTTCGATCGCAAATGATGTTTATACAACCCATAATCACTCTGGTATTAGTTTATATAAGATTTGATATTTGGTTAATTAAGTTCGATCGCAAATTGGTAACGAACTCAACAAACTAATGGAAAAACACCTTAATACACTTCAACTCATTGAATGGTACCAGTTTCTACGAAAATAATACCTCGTTTTCTTCTACATAGTACCTGTTATTGATCGATTAGTACCAACTTTTGTGACGAAAAATTGATTATTTCAATTTTGCTCAACATTTACAAAAAGTAGTACCAGTCATAGTGTAATGCAGTACCAATTTATGGCGCGATAGTACCAGATATTATGTCCATAGTACCACTTGTAATTAACAAATAAGAAGACCGAATTTCGGTTGCAAATGATGTTTATACGACCCATAATCACTCTGACATTAGTTTCTATGATATTTGATATTTGGTTAATTAAGTTTATCGCAAATTGGTCACGAACTCGACACACTAATAGAAAAACACTACTTATTACACTTCAATTTATTGACTGGTACCGGTTTTGACGGATATAATACCGCTTTTTCTTCTACGAAGTACATGTTATTGATCAATTAGTACCAGCTTTCTGGAATGAAAATGTAATACTACGATTAAAACTTCACAAACTATTACCTATATTGCAGTATGAAATGTCAGTATATTGTAAGAAAAAATATTACTCATAAAGTGTCATTTACTACCCACTCTTTGGAATGAAGATGAGTACACAATTAAATTTGGGCATAAATAAATGTGATCGCCTAGCGGTAGGATGGTATAGGAGGTGGCCTTGAGAGTGTGGACTCATCCAGACTCGGGTGAGTCCCTCTCTGCACGATCCTTCCACCATTTTTTTTGCACTTATAATAATTAAAAATAGGTATAAATCATACAGGTACTAGGTAGAACAAGATGTGGTACTATGTTGGATAAAACAAGTACTAATTAAATTTTAGTATGAGTGTTAAAAAAAAAAAGATGTGGTACTATGTTGGATAAAACAACTACTAATTAAATTTTAGTATGAGTGCAAAAAAAAATGGTGGTATGAGCGCAAATGGGGACTCAAACCCGGGTCCAGACCCTCAAGACCGCTTTCTCTACTATCATGCGGCTAGACAATCACATTAATGCGCATATTTAATTGTTATGCCTTTAGCTTGAGATTTATAAAGTCCTTAACCTCCTTGGCTTATAAAAATTATATTGTACTTCTTGACTTAATAAGTTATATAAATTGGCATATTTACCAATTTAATTAAAAACTTAGACTTCGGATTACTTTTTGAATTAACCTTTTGTGTTTGAAATTCACCAATTTAATTTGGTGCTTAAAATATTAAATTTAAGTACTTGGATTGAATTCTTGAAACTTATAATAATTTACTTGCTATTTCTTGAGACTAAAATCGAGCAATCTCATAGATGAATAAAATCGTGGCGCTACACTCAACGAAAGTATGTACTAATTGAATTAGCACTCTTTCGAAATTCATCGGCGCCGTCACTGAATATATGTACCTCTCATTTGATGCAAAATCAGCAAGAATCGATCGATTTATCTTGCACTAACAACTCTGATTCTCCTTATGAGAAATCAACATATGGTACGATTTTCCCTGCGTTCATGATAAAATAGTACAAAGATTTATAAAAAATGAAACTAGTTAAAAAATTAATGAACTAGGATATGATAAAAACACCATATTTCAATAATAAGTTCATTAATATTATGAAAGCAACATTACCCGCTCATGCTCATCGGGATGGATTGAACTCCATCACCCGGTCTTCCATTTCTTCTAATGGTCGGGCTTTTATTTCTTTCAATGACAAGTATCTCTACAATATTTACTTTCCAGCAAACATGTAACCGAATCATGTTTTTACATCTTCATCATCGGACAAACTAACTTTCTTTTTTTTTCTTTGGCGCAATTTAGTTTAACACGATGGTTTCCAAATTAACAATCGGCCACCTCTTAGCAATGAGAGTGTACACTTCGTCAAACGTTAATCCAAGGTGCATAAAGAACGCATACAATTTATTTTTGTAGGTACAACTCCCTAATATATCACTTTGTGCCCGTTCCATGTATCTAACAATAATTGGATAAAACAAAACAACTTCACATTTTCCAGCACATATGGTACCAGACACTGAGCAACATGGTACTAGATATACAAATAGAGGTACAAAAATCATGAATAGTGGTACTATGATTATTATCATCTTATTTTTTTGTTTTATAATGAATAACACTTAACATAACCTAACAATAGCATAAATTTGGTATACATGAACCAAAAAAAGCGATTATAATCACTTTATTTGTCTTAGGGTAAATATAAACAAATATTCAAAATTGAATCCTTAACAAATTAACCAAAAATATATGAATTAAAGATGATTGTTGGACTCCAAAGTCCTCATATAATACATAGATTACTTATTACTTCAAGTTTTTGCCGGAAAAGGTTCAATGTTGCCGGAAAAATATGAATTTTCGGCCATAGAAATTTGACGTCGGGATCACTTAATTCGCCGGATTTGTTGTCGCCGGAGTTCTTTTCGTCGAATTT